GCCAGGGAGGCGGCGCCCGGGGAGAAAAGCAGCCCCTCCTTGAGGCGGCAGACAGCGCCGGACTCGGGAGTGGTTTTTCCACCTTCATTAATAAGATGAAGTGTAAGTTAACCTCTCTCAATCCTGCTTGTGAAGTGGCACTTTTGATAAGCAATCGCGTCTTTTTTACCCACCTTTGCCCAAGTTTTGACAAAGATTTAAGCATAAGCCCGTATGTGAGCCCTTTTGTCTGATTTCTTGGACCTGGCAGATCAGAAGGGAGAGGGGCGAGGGGGCGAATGGAAGTTAGGTCTTTCTATAAAACCTCTCTGGGGCCGTGTGTGAAGGGGGAGTTCCCACTCTTCTCCACCTCCCCTTCTTTTTTGGGAGACACACCTCAGGTATACTGGTTTTTTTTTTAAATGACCTGAATTTTCAACTCTGGGTAGAAAATGGAAGCCTTTTGATGAATAGTTTAGGCTTTTTGTTGTTGTTCTTATCAATGTCAGTGATTAGGAATAGGCAAGTCACTAAGAATCAATTTCAGAAGTTGGCATAAAGAATTATTATGGGAAGAAAAAGGAAACACTCTTGACCAATATGTGGTTTTTACAGATCGATTGCCTGATATCTACATTAAGAAGTTGACTCCTGGACTGAATTCTGAAAATAACTACAACTTCTTGAACAAAGAAGACAGGCAGGATTGTGCAAGAGAAGAATTTCAGACTCTAAGGGACCTTCTTTCCTTTCACACATTCGTTACTCTTTGGGAGACTATATTAAATGGGTAGTGACCTCATCCATTCATATAGCTAAGTTCTTGAAACTAGACTCTTCGTGTTTAAAAACTTTTTTCCAACGGCTGATGGCTTTACAGGAGCTGAATTAAAATATTTGTACAGAAATGTGTAGTATATTTATTAAGAACTACAGTGATATCTTTTAACATTTTAAGGGTTGGCCAGGGTAGCAAATAATACGGTGAATTAATAAGATGAAGTATTTAAAATTAAATTACAAGCGAGGGAAGGATTTTGAGAAAAGGAGTTAAAAGCTGTATAGGAAATGAAGCACTACAAAATATTGGCTGTAAGAACCTAGTTTAACTTTTAGACTAAGTGGGTCTCTGTTGTGGCTGCCAGGTTGATGCGGTCTTAGGGAAAGTATATATTGGAAAGCTAGGGTGTAGGTCTTCCTACCCAATGCTCCCCCCCTCCCTTTTAAGCTCTTAAACTCCCTAAAATAGGATGGTGTGTTGCAAACCTATTTTTTATTATTGAGGTTGCATTAAGAATACTTGTAGCCAAAATATGTTTATTTTTATAACTCCTGAACTTACTTAACTACTTCAACAAAGTCAGTGTATTTACTCATTCAACAAATATTTGAGCACTTAGTATGGGCCAGGAACAGCAGTGAAGACAACTAACAAATCCTTGCCTGCATGGAGATTACCACCTTGTTTTTTAAAATCTAAATATGTTAACAAGAATTTATATGCTAGGTGTGCTCAGCTGGTATTTAATCAGCAAGGTCACACTCCAAGAGTGGCTACTATAAGCCCTTCAGAAGCTATTGCTATTATAGAACAATATTCCTTTATAAATGTTAGAAACTGCCTCTCATTGAAATCGGTGACATCTGACGTATGCAGATGACCTACGTATTTTGGTGTCAGCACAGATCTGGCGGACTCTGCTTCCCCTACCTTTCAGGCGGCACTTCGGGTTGCAATGGAATCTGGGATTGACTTTGGAGGATGTTATCTGTTCCCTACAGAGTTAACCATTACGCCTTCAGGCTGCCGTTGACCTCTCTGAAGAAAACCTTTTAGGCAAAGGTTGGAGCATCTAGGGAAACAACTGGGATTTCCTTGAGTATCCAAACATTGTATGAACTTTCTGTGCTGCTGGCTGATAATTTTGTCCAATAAATGTTTACTGTGCGGCGAGGTTTGATCTGACCTGCACTTGATGTTCGACAGGATGAACAGTTCTACAGCTTCCTTAATCCTTAATGCTAAGTCACACACAAAGGCCTAACTCCACACTGCCTTTCTGAGCCTAAGACCTGCCTAGGACCGCGACTGTGGGACATCCTGAGCATTTCTAGCAGAGGGAACGTGGCGGGCTCTCGGTGTCAGTGCACGGCTGTAAATGGCACACAGAAATGGTGGCAGTAGAGGGCTCAATCTCCAGATGCTGAATAAGAAATGCACCCGCCAGGGAACGGCCACCTCAGGCACAGAGACTGCTCTCGCACCCACACCACGGCCCTAAGCTTCCACACCGCTGAACGGGCACCAAGGACAACTGGCACACTTGCTGTGACAAGAACAAAGACACCAAAAGAGTAACAGCAACGTGGTTTTAACCTGGTAAATTTCACAAGCTTAAATCATAAGTAAAATGGTGGTTTTAATACCATCTGAAATGAACTCGCTGACTGCAATTAGGAGGAAGCCTGCAGGGGTCTGTTAACCTAAAAGTTTTAGGACGTTAAGGGCTCCGTGTACCTAGCCCGACTGGCATGGGACTTCATTCAGAGGCCACAGGATATTCAGGGTAAGGGCACTGAATGCAAATAATGCTCCCGGACAGGGTTATCAAACTATGGCCAATGGACCAAATCTGGCCCACTGCCTTCTTGTATATGGCCTGTGAGCTGAGAATTATTTTTATATCTTAAAATGACTGAAAAGAATCGACTCATTTCCTGACATGTAAAAATTGTACGAAACCTCCAGTTCCAATGTCAGTCAGTTTCCCTGGCTAAGTACTTTCACACCTCACTGGCAGAGCTGAGGAGCCGTTACAAAGACCCTGGCGGCCAGAAGGCCTAAATTATTTACTATCTGGCTCTTCACAGAAAGTCTGCCAACTCCTGCATTAGACTTCACTGCCCTTTAACAAGATCTTCAGAGCCTCCTGTGATAACACTTTATGATCAGTGATATTCCAAGTTCCCCTGGACTTTAAGCTGATTTATATTTCTCATAAAATACATAATCCACTTTGGGGCGGGGGAAGCCACAGTTCATTAATGCAAAGGAAAGTCCAACCATATCAACTTAAAAGATCAGTTTATCTAAAAAAGACACAATTTTGAACCAGGTAAACTGATTTCACATGAAAATAGAACATTTGGAAGACAAGTATTTTGAACATTACAACAATTGGTTGCATTATTTCAAAAGTTACCATAGTAAGTTTGTAACCAGAAGAAAACATCTATAAAAATAAATAGGCACCCTAAAAATAAAAATTTTACATGTGAATTATTAGTTACTAAATATGCATTCAAGCTATATTTGGAATGTTGGATCAACATGAACACAACGGTCAGTTTCTGGTTTGTTAGAGCGGTTACGTGATTTGGGATGTTTCAGGGGGACAGGATTTAAACAAGAGCCCAAGTGGGACATTTCTAGTTGATGTTTGCAATTCAGCTGCAAGTTGAAAATACAATCTATGAGATCGCTGTTAAATATCAGAAATTGGTTTAACTATTTCAAATAATACATTTCAACTGGATATCTTGACCAAATAGAACAAACAACAAAAAATCTACACAGGTTTTTGATAGCTATTAAATACTTGGAGGAAGCCATTTTCTAGTATTTTACAATGTTATTATAAAAGCAGTATTTATATACACTGGCATTTTAAATACAATTTTACAAAGTTTACAATATTTACAAATGCTCCATACTTAAAATCGTGTTATAAAAATAAGCTTTCTTAAAAGGTAAAATTTATTTTAGTTTATATTCAAGTATTTCTAAATTAAGAGAAAGTAATAATCACTGTTATAAGTTAGAAAAGGCTATTCCACCTTGCTGAGTGGTCACAAGTATACACGTTTCCATGTCCAAATGTTGCTGACCAGTCACAAGATAACTCGTGTCTGCACTTATATTAAGTAATTTTAAACACCTTGCTGATCTGTTACGACAAAAACATAGCCGACTGCACGGGCAAGTTCTGGCTTGATATAGCTGGTCAGCAAGGTGTTAAAAACATCTCTTGGTGTATAACTTTGACCAAGATTTAGTAACTGGGTGAAGTTAGACTTTTACGAGCAATTACTTTCTATTTGTCTAGAGGTATTTTTAATCATTTACCTTTTGGAATATTTTAACAATTTATGGAATTGGTCAAAATATTAAATTTAATAAGTAGTTTATAGAATTACCAAGTCATGTAAACTTTACCCATTGATAAATGCAAGAAAAATCTTAGTTCCATAATTAATTCCCTGGAGTGGACAATATAAAACTAGTCTGAGCCACAGTTACTTTACTAGCTTAGCACAAAATAAAGTGACAACTAATGAAATAAGGCAATTAAAGTAATTTATTTTCATACTTTTAAGGTCATCATCTTAATGGGAGACCTCTTTAAAAAGAAAGCCCTCTCCATGAAAGTAGTTAGGGTAAAACAACATTTCATTAAAATTAAATCCTCTAAATGAAAGGCAGAAACTTTATCTGAAAACGCAGGAAGATTTCCAGATTCAAGAATCAGAAAATCAACAAAATGGGCTGCCAACCTGTAAACAGGTAGGATGACAGCTGGGAAGTCTAGGGGGTCACAGTGAGGTTCCCAGGAGGCGGGCACTAGGTCAACCCCAACACTGGAGAGCAGCAGCCCAAAGTAAACCAACATAAAAACTGTTCACATTTCATATAAACTTAGAAAAAGTAACAAATAAATATACTAAGACTAAGTACTTTGATGATTTTTAGCTTACCTGGCTGAAGCTGTATTTACCGACCCAGCATTGAGAGGCCTGCCTCATGTTAACTAGGCATCCTGAAGGTGAAAGTTCTAAGAGCAAAACTAAGTTTCTTCTGTCCTGACCTTGAGAATGGAATTTAAAAATTTCTTTATCATTAAGGCTTTACCCCCAAATGCTATCAATTTCATGGGTCGGTATTTTCTAAGACACTTAAAGAGCTCACACGAAGCTGACGTTCGGAGTCAGAAACCCGGGGCGCCCTGCAAGAAGGCGCCTCTGCACAGGCCCGTCCCTCTGCCTGCGGACAGCCCCCGGCATTTCCCAGTCAGCAGTTTACCGTCTACACACACGAGACCAGGCAGTGTAATTCTCGGGGTCTACCAACCACAAAATAAAGGGACAGGTTCTGCTTCTATGCCACTGCAGCATACAATAAATGGCTGTTTGCACTCCCAATTGTTTTTTGAGGAGTGCAAGTGATTAATAACTTGAAAATGCCATGGGTTTCATTTCATTTTTCTCTAGGTCCTGCCAGTTGATTCCTGTTGCTTCATGGCCTCTGGGTGCAAGGTGGCTGGTGTCGTCTACCTGTTTCAGTGTAGGCTAGGTTTGTGTCTGTGCTCAGGGCAGTGTGAGCCCAGGCTGGTAGGTGGCACAGGTCCCAGCCCCCTTTCACTCTGAGACACCGAATTCTCATGACTGAAGCCGGAGCTCTCTGGAAAACAGAGCTTGGGTCTCTGGTGGTATTTCAGTCTGTAGGTATCAGTCATGCAGCTATCGACTGAAAAATAGGTAGTGAGTGAGACTGTCCCCCTTGGGCAGGCAGGGCTGGGGTCTATGTCCGGTTGGCACAACGCAGGGACAGCTGCACCCAGGCCCGCCAGGGACTCGCTGGCTGAGGAGAGGGCCGGGCAGCTCCGCGTGGCGCCCGGGGGCTCTCTCGGGGCCGCGTCCCTGGGCCTGTCGTCGCTGGCACGTGCACGCACTGCTGGGCCTGCTTCGGACGCTGCCCCTGCCCTGTGCTTGGCCGGACCAGCGGGGTTCGCTCTGAGCGCCTCCGTGAGCCTGGCATCAGGCGCAGAGTGGTTCTTCTCCGACTGTGGCACACTGGTCGTAGTGTACTTTTTTGGTGGCAAAGGAGGCGGCGGATTCTGGCAAACGGGTTTTGGCATCTGACAGCCGTCGGCTCCGCGGGCGGACCGAGCGCCGCGCTCCCTGGGCGGGGAGGTCTCCGGGTAATACTGTGGCCCCGCAGTGTGCTGCTGGGCGAGGGGGGCAGCGTCGGGCGTCAGCCCCGCAGCTCTCACGCGGGGGGACCAGGACCGCGCCGCGGATGGCGAGAGGGCTCCATCGCTGCTCAGTGTGGACCCGGAGGCAGACCGTTCGGCCGGGTGAGGGAGCGCGCCCGCTCTCGCAGGACCTTCCGCGTTTGCCCACTCGGGAACTGCGCGTTCACTTGACTTTTCAAGTTTCTGTTCCCCTGACTGGTGGGCGTGCTCACCGGCCGTGTGGTCCTTGAAGACCTGTGGGCTGGACGAAGGGAACAGTTTCCCACTGGGGTCACGTCCATGTGACCTGAAACAGAAAGAAACAAAGCTACACCCCACATGCAAACACGCAGCACTGGAGGAAAGCACACCCGTCCTGTGACTTCACCTCCCCACGCGCAGGTTACGCTATTTTTGTGACGACAGAAATGGGAGGTATTTGAAGCCAGTAACGTTTCACTCTGAGACTAAAATCTTTAAGCCAGGACACGGCCGCTCACCAAGACGACACCTACGCAGGTGGTAATGAACGTCCAAGGCGACGACGAAAGACAGCGCACTGCAAATTATTCCCCTCACCTGGTTATTTTATCACGTGAGTTACAGGGACGCACCTGGGGCAGAGCGATCACGGGCTGACGGGCTGCGCTCAGGTCTCAGCTCCACTGCTTTGGGCAAATGACTTAATCTAAGGCCCGCATTTCCTCTGGTAAAGTACCGCCTGCTTCGTGAAACTGCGACGGGGCTGAGACCATCCTGTCGTGCCCGCGGGCCCTCGCCCCTTGGCCTACGTCCTGCCGATGACCCCCAATGAGATGGCACCAGATGTCCCAGACCCACAGCCTCGGCAGGGACGGGCACTCGTGCCTTTATGGTAAATAAAGCTCCTCTAATGCTCGCATTTAAGACAAGGGATTTGAATATTTCCAAGTATCTTTACCTTTTTATCAGAGGATTTCTTATTTGTAGATGTGATTCTGGGTGGAACTCACTAGATTTACAGCCTACTTCCAAGTTCTTAAATTCTTTCCTACAGCCTGAGGACAGAAAAAAACAAGGTTAAACTTCTTCCAATGAACAAACAACAAAAATTCTTCAAGACTCAGCCCAAATAACACCACTTTTCTGATCCTTTAAAAGAATGAATAGCTCTTCCCCCAACTTGTCATCACTTGAAAGTGTCAGCGATGCCCCAATAACACTGCTCCCACCGGGTGGTGGACCTGTGTCCAGCTGCGTGAGTCCCACCGGGTGGTGGACCTGTGTCCGGCTGCGTGAGTCCCACCGGGTGGTGGACCTGTGTCCGGCTGCGTGAGTCCCACCGGGTTGTGGACCTGAGTCCGGCTGCGTGAGTCCCCCTGGTTGTGGACCTGTGTCCGGCTGCGTGAGTCCCCCTGGTTGTGGACCTGTGTCCGGCTGCGTGAGTCCCCCTGGTTGTGGACCTGTGTCCGGCTGCGTGAGTCCCCCTGGTTGTGGACCTGAGTCCGGCTGCGTGAGTCCCCCTGGTTGTGGACCTGTGTCTGGCTGCGTGAGTCCCCCTGGTTGTGGACCTGTGTCCGGCTGCGTGAGTCCCCCTGGTTGTGGACCTGTGTCCGGCTGCGTGAGTCCCCCTGGTTGTGGACCTGTGTCCGGCTGCGTGAGTCCCCCTGGTTGTGGACCTGTGTCCGGCTGCGTGAGTCCCCCTGGTTGTGGACCTGTGTCCGGCTGCGTGAGTCCCCCTGGTTGTGGACCTGTGTCCGGCTGCGTGAGTCCCCCTGGTTGTGGACCTGTGTCCGGCTGCGTGAGTCCCCCTGGTTGTGGACCTGTGTCCGGCTGCGTGAGTCCCCCTGGTTGTGGACCTGTGTCCGGCTGCGTGAGTCCCCCTGGTTGTGGACCTGTGTCCGGCTGCGTGAGTCCCCCTGGTTGTGGACCTGTGTCCGGCTGCGTGAGTCCCCCTGGTTGTGGACCTGTGTCCGGCTGCGTGAGTCCCCCTGGTTGTGGACCTGTGTCCGGCTGCGTGAGTCCCCCTGGTTGTGGACCTGTGTCCGGCTGCGTGAGTCCCCCTGGTTGTGGACCTGTGTCCGGCTGCGTGAGTCCCCCTGGTTGTGGACCTGTGTCCGGCTGCGTGAGTCCCCCTGGTTGTGGACCTGTGTCCGGCTGCGTGAGTCCCCCTGGTTGTGGACCTGTGTCCGGCTGCGTGAGTCCCCCTGGTTGTGGACCTGTGTCCGGCTGCGTGAGTCCCCCTGGTTGTGGACCTGTGTCTGGCCATATGAGTCCCACTGGTTGTGGACCTGAGTCCGGCTGCGTGAGTCCCCCTGGTTGTGGACCTGTGTCTGGCTTCGTGAGTCCCACTGGTTGTGGACCTGAGTCCAGCTGCGTGAGTCCCCCTGGTTGTGGACCTGAGTCCAGCTGCGTGAGTCCCCCTGGTTGTGGACCTGTGTCTGGCCATATGAGTCCCCCTGGTTGTGGACCTGTGTCCGGCTGCGTGAGTCCCCCTGGTTGTGGACCTGTGTCCGGCTGCGTGAGTCCCCCTGGTTGTGGACCTGTGTCCGGCTGTGTGAGTCCCACTGGTTGTGGACCTGAGTCCGGCTGCGTGAGTCCCCCTGGTTGTGGACCTGTGTCCGGCTGCGTGAGTCCCCCTGGTTGTGGACCTGAGTCCGGCTGCGTGAGTCCCCCTGGTTGTGGACCTGTGTCCGGCTGCGTGAGTCCCACAGTGGCAGACATGCACTCAGGTGGAAGCCTGCACCACTGCTGAGGGGCTGTACCGTGTCCGGACACCACGCCTGTCCTCGCTCGGGAATGACGGTGGAACGGATCCCACCCGCCGCGCGGAACGCTCGGAACCCCCCCGGGTACAGCACCAACAGCATTCACCACCACTGAGCACTGCCACTGACGGACTGCGGCCCCAGCTGTGAGAAGTGGACGATGGTGATTTTATCTCATCTCTTCAACTAAACACCATTTTTACTCGAAAAGCTGACAAACGAGTTATTCAGACATGGTTATTTGGCAGAAACTTTCTTGAAAATTAAATAACTGAACATGTGCCTTCAAGAAAAACTGGCAGCATCTATTGCCAATGATGAGAGTCAACGTTTTAGATGGAAGTAAGACTTTCAGAAAACTTGCAGCTTCTCAATATTTATAAAGGCTTTCTGCTAAAATCTGTGGTGATATTAACAAATAGGGTTCTTAAAAAGATATATAAAGTATCGACAACTGGAAGACTTCCATAACCTACCAAACCAGTACTTCCCAACTGAGGATGCACGGGTGTTATAAAACCATGCATGAGTGAAGCAAGTCTTTCTTTAAATGAATAAATAAACATTTAAAATTTTCAGTTTTAATGCCTAATACAGCAAATACTGATAGCTATAACTATAGAAACAAAAGGTCTTTTTTCCCAAAATATGTTTTTATTGATTTTTAGAGAGAGAGGGAGAGGGAGAGAGAGATAGAAACATCAATGAGAGAAACATGATCGACAGGCTGCTTCCTGCACCCCCCCCACTGGGGATGGAGCCTGCAACCCGGGCAGGTGCCCTGACCTGGAATCAAACCGTGACCTCTTGGCTCAACCACTGAGCCACACCGGCCAGGTGAAACAAAAGGTCTTTTAAGGTCCTCAATATTTTTCAATAGTATGCTATGAGGTTACAAGTTTGAAAACCACTGTTCTCACTGATTTAAAAAATAGCTGTCTTCCAAAATCTCTGTCATAGCTATTCAGTGAGACAGTCCCCTTTTTACAACCAAAGAAGGGAGGTGACCTCACAGTGCTACACAGGTGACAGCAGTCACACCAAGCCACGCTCAGCTCCAAACCCAGGGCTCTGCCACCACCCAGAGCTCTCGTGAGCATGTGCCACTAAAATACAAGGTCATCATACAGCATCTCCATGCGGCAAAGCGGGGCCATTGGCTTGAACATCAAGCCACAGGATACACTTTAATGTGCTAACCACAGAAAATAGAAAAATATACAGCATTAGCTTCAATTTTCAATGAACGGCCTATACTCTGCACAGTTCTAGGAAGTTTTTCTATGTTCTCATTTAGATGACCTTTTCATCACGCTCATTTATCTCAGTTTCCAAATTGATGAATTAAGGATAGAAAAAAAACAAAATCAAAAGTATTAGTGCAGCAGCTTTATTTTTTAAGCAATAAAAGTCTATTGTAGATGCCCTTTATCCCTAACAGGGTCCTCTGGGCATATTTTTAAAAACTATCCTGTCACTCAAAATTCCACTTGATCAAAACATAGTTGATCAAAACATCTAAATGTTACCCTACCAAAAAAATCTGTATTTGACTTTGATGGGGTTCTGCAGGTTAAATCTTGAGGCAATTTCCGAGAACACTGTGTCACATGTGAGAATTTACTACTCCATATGCGATGTGCTCGCACAGTAACGACACCTCCCGGCGAAAGCTTTGGTAGAACGTGGGAAGCGCCGCGAGGCGCTCACTTGCTACGGGCTGACCGCTCACTCCCACTGGACCGGCGGCTCTTCACTGAATGCTACGCTTTCTGTCACGGTTTCCCCAGGGGCCATCTCAGTATCTGGCACACAGAAGACATTCACTGAAAGTCTGCAGAATGAAAAACTGCATGAAAAAGATACTTTGTTCCTCCTTTAAGTCACCCCAGTTCTGTCCACCTCTGTCCACCGAGTTCCCAACTCAGGGACCCAGGACCAGGTAAGCAGAAACGGAGGCAAATTCCTCTTACTTCCCCTCCTAGCTTGGGCCCGTCGAGGGCCACTCTAAGTCTTAAATAAAAACAGTATAACCTATCCCACCAAGTCTTAGTGGCTTATAAATATGACACGCTGCCTGAGGCTCAGAAACGAAGCCCCTCTCCTGACAGTTACTTTATGGTTAAAAAAAAAGTAATGTCAAAAAGAACCTTGATAATTTTTCAAACTTTAAGTCCTCAACAATTTATAAGTTGAAATTACATTATAATTTTCCACCCACTTTGACCTTAACTTCAGAATGTTTATTTTTATTTTAATTCATTAATAATTTCAAGTTTAATATACTCACAAACACAAGGAAAAAATACTTAATTCTTAAAGAATTCTTTCTTTCGTGAAAGTATCTACACAACGGGCTGCAGGGGGCAGCCGAGGCCCTGTAAACGCTGCGAAGTTTCAGTGTCACTATGGCAAGCATTCGGCCAAGTGGTTCGACTTCAGAATTCCAACTAATTTAAAAATAGACGTGTTATTTTTCTCTTCTGCTGACACAGACGTCCATGTGTCTTTACAGGAATTCTGGCTCCAGGTTCTTTGCAAATCTAAAATAGGCTAATTTTAACACTTGGCACAGAAGATACCACAACGTGAGGGCAGGAAGCTTTATATTAATAATGCTAATTTTGACATTGTATACAAAATAAACCAAAGCCCAACAGTCAAGAAATCAAAATATACTCTTAATCTGAAAAAATGACCTAGCTTTGAACAGACTTAAGTAGTAATAAAGCCCAAATGCTTGTGCACACACGTAGTCTTCACTCATACTGAAGACTACGGGAGACTTCCGAATATGAGAGGAATACTGCAGTTACACAGCTAAACACTCCAGTGCAGGAACATACCCAATGATCTGATTTACAGTAAGAAGACATGTAAATAAAATCTGAATGCTTTAGAGGATCACAGACCTTTCACTGGGTAACTATTTCTGGCTAAATTTACCACGTGCCCAAAGGAGTGGGTACTTTAACAATGCTCTGAGGGAACTAAATTTTGGGATGAATCAAAATAAAAAGGCAGGAATTGGTAACTTCTTTTCTCAGTGGAGTCACAATGTAAGGAAAAAGCAAATAATGCTATTTTGCTACAAATTACATTTCAATACCCAAAGCTTACAGTTTTAAAAAATACATAGATCAACAGTTGTTGGTGCTGGGCCACAGCAACAGAGAGGAAACTGTGTGCTAATACACTGCCTCTCAGCAGTCTCTGAAACTCAGAAAATAAATGTAGTGTGCACAGGGACAAATCAACTGTCAAAAGCACCTCCTCCTCTACATACACTATGACGTTTTTGTTTTCAATGAATACACTCTGCAGTTTGCAAAAACAACAACAAAACCTTAGAGAAGACAGACTTAGGCACATGGACAAACTCTTCCAATAGATTTTTTTCATTTACTAAGTATTTAACAATACTAAGGGTAGTCTATTTTACTCAATAAAGTGGAAGTACAGACTTTTTTGTAGTAAGAAATTCAGGGAATTAACAGATTTTTTTGAGCACCGACTGACTTCTATCATGAATCTTGTCATTTCCAAGATCTGGATCCTCAGCTTGAACTAATCCTGACTTCTTCCATCAACCGAGACTGAGCCGAGTATCGCAAACTCCAAAGCCGATGGCAAAAGCTTCTGAAACACCTAACGATCCCCTTGTGATGTGTTGTGTATGATCTGTAAATACCCTAACACAGACTGACTTCGGTAGGTAACCTCAGCTCATGGAGAAGAGACCACTGCGTGTGAACACACAGGGCAGGGGCCTGCGCGCCTTCTCGGCCAAGCCTGTCTCCCAAGCTCTCCGGTCCCCTCTGTCCCCCCAGAGACCCGCTCCAGGGGGCTGGCCGGGCCTGCTCTCACCCTCACGCCTTCCTGTGCCTCGGGGCATCACTTGGTACCCTCGGGACACAGGCGCCAAGCTCGCTCCTGCTTTTGTTTCCTCCTCTGGGGGCTGCTTCTTGCTGATTGCAGCAAAGGTTTGGAGGGACCTGAGCTAAACCCACGTCTTCCCCGTTACTTCCTTTCTATTCTACTGGAAAATCTTGTACTTGAAAATACTTTCAGAAAGTTCAGAAAAGTTGGAAGATTAAAACCAGTACAAAGAAAACCTGTGTGTCCTTTACGGAGACTCACCTACGAGGGAGGCCCCTGGGCTTCTCCGGCCCACGCGAGAGCGAGGCAGCCCCAGGGCTGCTTCCCAGCCTCACCTCTGCCTCGGTCTCCCCGAGTCTAATGCCCTGGAGCACTGCTCCTCCCGCACCACTGACGGCTGCTGCTGACCCGAGCCGGCGCTTCTGGCCCCGATTCTGCTTAGTCTGTGGCCAAGTTCCCCGTTTTCCCGTTTCCCTGGGGTAACCCCGTGTCTTCCCAGCTTCCCCGCTACTCCTCACTGTCGCGACGTGCTCCCTCTCTCCATCCTGGGCTCACCTCTCTCACCCAGCAAACCCCATGTTCTGTCCTTTCTCTATTTTTTCCCTAAAATCTCCGGTTCTCCTGAGTGATACAGGTCACGTCTACGTCACTCAGTTCCCATGAATGCTGGTGATTTCCAAACACATAATCTTCCCGGAGTTCTAGACACACGCTCCTAACTGCCCAATCCGCTTCCCTGGGCCTGGGGAGGGGACACACAGACACCACGGAGCAGGCGCAGGGACAACGGCAAAGCCAGGTAAGAACTGTGGTGGCTCTGGGGTGTATTAAGTGAGAAATAATTATAGCAGATGAATCTATGTAGTTAAATGAAAAGTGGGCTACACAAAGCACAGTAAGGTACCACTTCACGCCCATTAGGGTGGCAGTTATCAAAGAACCCAGAGGCTAGCGAGCGCTGGGAGGCGGCTGAGAAGTGGGCACCCCGTGCCTTGCGGGTGGCACTGTGGGAGTTAACACAGGATGACACAGGACACAGCAGCCGCGCTCCTGGGCAGTCGTCCCCAACGTTCACGGGAGTACCATTCCCCATGGCCACAGGTGGAAAGGCCCCAAATGTCCAACAACAGACGGATGGACAAACAAAATGCCTTAGATCACAGCACAGAACACTATGCAGCCTCGAAAAGGAACGGAATTCTGACACACGCTACAACATGGATGTAACCTGAAGACATTATACACAGTGAAATAAGCCAGTCACAAAAACACGCACTGTTTGATTCCACTTGTCTGAGGTCCCTAGACTACTGGTCAAGTTCGGAGACAGAAAGTACCGGGGGGCTGCCCGGGCTCGGGGAGGGAGGTGGGGAGCGCGTGCTGATGGGGACAGAGCTGCAGTGAGAGGCGTCGGGAGCCTGGAGAGGGTGGTGCATGGCAACGTGAGAGCTCCGCATGCCACCGAGCTGCCACTTAGAGTGGCAAACGTCGTGTGCATTTACCACAATAAAGGTTATTTCAAGTGGGCGACAGACCCACTTTCCACACTCAGTGGGAAACCCACTGCCACGCTCTCGCGGCGGTGCACTCGCTCCGGGCCTCGGTCCCCAGGACCCGCTGCCTCGCTCGCAGGAAGCCGGCCCCCTCTGCACAGAGCCCGGGACTCGTGGGCATTGTTAAGCTCACCAACCCCTGCCGCTGGCCTCCAGCCAGCCCTTCGCTGCTTCCTGCAACACTTGCTCACCAGACTTTATCAGATTTGCTAAACGGGCGAGACATTTTATATGGGAAAGGAAGGTTATTTCCTCAATATCAGTGTTTCCTTCTGATATTACAAACTTTGATGAAAACAAAGTACGTTAGTACTTAACCATATTCTACGTCTGCAACCTGAACAACAATCTGCACAAAAGTCTTAAGGACAGTAAAGACCAAAAGCAAACTTTAAAATTTGTTTTTCACAGCTAGTCTTTATTCATTAAATCCCTTCTAATCCTCTATTACAATTTCAACACTGTCTGTGATTACAGCCCCAGTGATCCCCTCGCTCAGGTCCCCCTCTCCACAGCAGCCCTGCATCTGTAACGTCCAAACACGAATGTCCTTGGCTCTGGCTGCCCCTCGCTGCTAACAGTTCCCTGTAGTAACTCCACACCCTGCTTAGCATCTGAGCTGAACTTCCCCAGCAGGCCGCCTCCAGTCTCCCTGGCTGTCCTGCACCCCCGTCCTTCGCGCTGGGGCAGACGCTCAGGCTGTGGCGGGCGCGGCAGCTGGCTTCCCGGCACCTGGAACAGGGTCCTCCCGTCTCTGAAATCAGGCCTGGCTGAAAGATCGCCTTGGGCCGTGATCGAGAGAGGGTGCACCTGACCACCCCTGGCTGAAGATTTAGGAGCTAACAGGTGACTCCACGCGGGGTGCCCCACCCTGCCTGCCTGAGGCAATGATCAGAGACGCACTGTGCAGATGTCCCATCCACGCGGCTACCAGGCACAGACAGCCGCTGACCGCGCCACACAGACCGTGAACAAGAGACAGGCCGTTAGGACACTGGGATCCAGAAGTCGCTGCCACCGCCCAGCTAGGACCGAGCCTGTCCTGAGGGATACCCCCCTCCATCCCCTCAAAGGCCCCAGGCAAGAGCTCCGCCACCCTGCACCCTCACTGCTCAGGGACAGGGCTGCTCTCAGCTCCTTCACTCTTAGCGCCACCACTACAATTTATTAAATGAAAAACTTACCTTCTAAGTGGTTTTTACTTTGTTGGGAGGCACAGTTCGCACATTCTGTATTCCGGTCGCTTGTTTTAACCTGGTCACTAAAAAATAGAACAAAACACACACCAGCTATCATGAGTTACTAGTTCGGTTTATTCTGAGACAAAGAAAGGAAATAACATTTGACAGACAATTCATATGCCGTGTGCTGCTCTAAGGGGCTTAACACACACTAATTTCCATCTCACCACGGCACTTACAAGTAGTTATTACCCTCAGTTTACAACAGATTAAGGCGTGAAAGTCAAATTAATTTGCCCAATAATGAAAATACAAGCCTACTGGCTAAAAGTCCTGACCTTTCCACTGCCCTAAGCTATTCCTTTCCAGAAAGTGTTGATATTACCGTCAAATAAAAAGGTTTCCCTGATTGTTTTAATGAAACACAGGCAGCTGGTTTTTGCAAATCTGGCTTTTTAATGAAGGTGGTAAACGCTAGCTAATATCAAATGATGATGTTTTAGATGGATCAGAAGCAGAAATCAGCGCTGGCTGGGCCGTGCGCAGGTTCAGAGGGACAGGGAAGCGCCACGGGCCCCACAGGCCGCCATGTGCTCAGAGGCGCCGGACACACGCTCAGTGACTTGGCTGCGCTCTTTGACATTTGCTAAAGGAAAAACGTGTCTTCCATGGAACTGGGTTGTGAATAACCCCATTTTTTTCTGAGTTACAGATGTCAGAGATGGGGTAATAAGCATTAAATGGAAGAATTAGACGACCAGCTTAGTGACTGAGAGGCACCCAGCTTAAAGCTGTGCTTTAAACCCTGCAGCGTGTCTCAAAGGTTTCAGTGTCAACGACGATGATGTATTTCTATACTTTCAAATTTCCTAAACAGTTGTGGTTTTCTGGAATCAGGAAATAACTATTAAAACTAGAAACCTGAAATATCAAATAACCTGCAATATCGCAGGTTTCGTTACTCAAAGCTCAAGCTCTTCCCGTGACACATGACTGACCCCAAACTCTGAAAATCACTTCAAATAATTAAGGGGAGACTGGGGGTGGGGTCGCTCACGTAGCTGGGGCACTACCTGAGGGGCGCCGGGTCCCCGCCGAGCTCCACCGCTGTGCCGCCACGGACACCCGGGGAGTCCAGGCTGGCCGAGCCGTTGCCGACGTGGTCGCCGCTCTTGCAGCCGGACTCTGTCCTCCGCGCCTGCCAGGCGTCTCCGTGAGCCCCAGGCTCCGCCAGGCTTTTGGTTTTCTCTCCCTCTTGCCCGTTACATTCGGGGGAGCTCCTGCTCCCCGCGTCCTGCTTCGTTTCATCTTCGTATATGGTCATTAAACACTTTTGCTTTGGACTGTCCTTCGGCCAGTTGTTAGAACCCTGATCTCTGCTCCTCCTGGGCTTGTTCCCGGCGCCTGATTTATGCCGCGGGCTGTGCTGCCTCCTCTCACTCTCACTAAAAACACTGTCCACATTCAAGGTTTCTCGCATGGGCCTCCAGCCTCGGCTCCGGCTCCGGCTGCTGCCCGGATGGCCGCTCCCTTTGCCCCGGGAGTCGTGGCTGCTGTCTGTCTCGTACCCAGCGCCGTCGCTCTTCACTCGGCCGGTCACCGGCTCCCCTGCAGCGGGGACCCGGGGCGGACCTGCGCTCGGCCCCTGCGCCGCGGCTCGGCTCT